CAGGCAGACAGGCAGACAGGCAGACAGGCAGACAGGCAGACAGGCAGACAGGCAGCCAGGCAGACAGACAGACAGACAGAGAGAGAGAGAGAGAGACAGAGAGACAGGGAGAGAGAGAGAGAGAGAGAAGAAACCTATAGCAATGGCCTCCAACCTACAGTAATAGAGAGAGAAAGATAGAGAGAGAGAGAGATTGAAACCTTGCGTAGAAAGAACAGTATCCTGGATCACTGATGTGCCAAACCTCTTGTGGGTGCCAAATCCAAAACAGACCCAATGGCTAGGACACACGGCAAAAGATGTCGTCAATGTGGTGGCCTCAGTCAAGTCCTGGAAAGAGCCTGGAGATGCTTCGAGAATCGTGAGCCTTCCCCAGCAGTCTCGAACATATCATATACTATACTATATTATACTGAATTTTATACTATCATATAATCTTGTAATCATTGTCACCTAGATGCCACTGACATGGTTTCTTCTCATCATTTAAACCTTGTAGATACCTGTAGTAGATTGAGGCAACCTTTGGGTGAATTCAACATAAGGAGGCTGTTCTGCAATGTATTCTAAATCGCTCAGACTCCCGAGGGCAGGAAGGCCTGGCTCACAGTCCAACTACGCTTGGAACAAACGCTGAGCCGCCAGCCCTTCGGGCTCTTCCGTTGGAAATCTGAGACGTTTCACCAAACGCTTGGCTTCAGAGGAAAGATCCGCCGAAGTGCTGCACCGGAGTTTTCTCCAAGTTCTTAAGGGCTTGAATTTTGGCACACCACGCTTGACCAGTCACTTGGATGAGGGGACATGAGGATAGACATGGTGAGCCAGAGAATTTAACTTGGATCATCATAATCGACATGGATTGAACATGCTTGGGATGTAGACCCGGGACATTTGCTGTAATTGGAATATTTTGTTTACCCATTTCCAAAGCAAAACCTCATGTTGTGATTCCTTGAAAATTATGACTTTTGGCAGCCTGGCTCATTCTTAGAGAAGCTGACTGCATCGGGATCAAGATGTCCAGCCATGAAGAAGTTGAGTCGAACTCAATGAAAACTGAGAATGCTCCCCAAGTGGAGTCGGACGGTCAAATCCAGAAAGTCGCTCAGCCCGGACATGTTTTGTGCGTGATTCCTCGAACTCCACATGGGCAATGGTCGCGATCGCCTCTTTGGTGACCCATCGCCACACCGCTCAGGAACCGCATTTTTGCCTTCGAAGCACGCCATGAGTTCAGGAACCGCATGAGTGCTTCATACTGCTTTGACACTGAGGCGGGCATGGTAGAAGCGTCATCGGTTGAGATCTCAGTTGCAGCGATGCCAAGACCACACACAAGCAGACCTCGAACTGCAAAACTCCCGGATTGTTTTGCGAAGGCAGATGCGGCCCTGCCGGATCCAGCCGATATACGACAGGAGGCCAGTTCTCAGTGTCGCGAGCTTTCAAGAAGATGTCACCAGAAGAATGCAAGACCTCACTGGCTCGCAAAGTGCCATCACTAGTAGGTTGGAGGCTAGGCTAGTAGGTTGGAGGCCATCGCTAGTAGATTGGAGGCCATCCCTATTAGGTTGCAGGCTATTGTTACTGGGCCATCCCTATTATATAGGTTGGAGGCCATCGCTACTAGGTTGGAGGCCAGCGCTACTGGGTTGGAGGCCATGGCTATTGGGTTGGAGGCCATTGCTATTAGGTTGGAAGCCATCGCTATTAGGTTGGA